TCAACAAATAAATTGGGTAGTGTGGAGAGTCTCCCTTATGAGCAGTTTTTAAGGATGAAGGGATGCAAGCCCTCCAAGTTAAAAAAAGAAGAGTTTTCTTCAAGTCCTGCAAAAAACACAAACATTAATTGAGGAAGCACCTGCATTTTCCTCAAATGGAGAGAAGTGGAATAAAGTATACCTTCCTACACACAACGCACACACAGCTTGCAAAACTAGAGTTGCTGCCGTGAATCCCAATACTAACATAATTCAGGGGTACAGTGATTTGAGATGGGTTAAGGATAGTTTCTTTTCAGCTGAATTTCTCCCTCAAATTTAAGTTATTTTATTATTAGTTCAAACTTCCAATGTGTCGATTTTGTTTATTTTCATGTTAATTGGAGCAAACCTTGATCACTTGTGGAGGATATTATATATTCTGTGGTCATGTTATATTTTGGCTGTGATGGAAGTGAGCAGGGAGAACACTGCTTTCTGAATCCATTACTGACTTGGGCTTCCTATTTAATTTGCACACACACTGTCTGCCATGACAATTCATGGTCATTATGAATTATCAGTATTGTTTGTGTTGCAATGGCATCTGCCCTTAAACCACACAGCAGTCTGGGAAAAGTGGCCTTCATGTTCCCCACTGGCCAAAATAGATAATGATAGTAATATCTACTGTAGAGGCAGGAGGACAGTGAGGAACATATATGTAACAGAACAGGGGGAATGGTGTCCATAAAATTAACAGTCATGCATTAGAAGAAGACATCCTACAGCTAGAAGCAAAAGAGGATAAATAAAATGCTAAGTGTACAAGCTAAAATCTATATACTAATACCGAAGACGCCCCCTTGCGTGTGGATACTTATTTCTGCACATCGGGGGCACCTGGGGGGGGAGGGAGATTTTCGTGCACAATTGGGACAGTCCCCAGGTGTGCACAAAAATCTGAAAAGTTGGAAGAAATATCGGGGGGATACTTAAATCCCCCCAAAAGTAACAGAGCGTCCCCTGCGCATGCGCAGGGAATGCTCTGCGAACTGCCTCGCCACTGCCACAGGGGACGGGAGGCTGGCTGGCGGGCGGCGGAGAACCGCTTGGGCCTTG